AGGGTCCCAGGTTCGATTCCAGTCAAGGGCATGTACATTGGTTGCGGGCACATCCCCGGTGAGGGGCATGCAGGAGGCAACTGGTCGATGTTTCTCTCTCATCAATGTTTGTAGCTCTCTATTCCTCTCCCTTCCTCTCTATAAAAAAATCAATAATATATATATTTTTAAATGCTATGGATGAGTGTGGCAGTTCCCACGTTTTCCCCCAAAGCATCTGGGAGCAACCAAATGTTTCCGCACACACAATTGGCTGGGTTGTTTTCTGCGGTTAATCATTATGGGGACCAGCCTCAGAGAGTGAGGCACAGTCACACTTCTGCACGGCTCAGTGTGATTAAGGGCGGAAGTTTCTGTTTTGGGTGTTCCACACTGCCACCAACCGTGACTGACAGATGGGACAGGTAGACATTCCAGACCCAATGGCAGCTCCCACAGAGCTTTTCGATCTGGGAAACCAGCCAGTCCCTTCCCCTCGGCCTCAGTCTTCTCATGGGCAAGGGAACTAGGTGTTAGGAAGATAAATGAAGAAAAAAACCACAGTGTCCAATGACATGCCGATCTTGAAAACCAGCATGAAGACTTACAGCCAATGTGTCCATTGCCACTGTGAGAACTGGGTTGTCTTCTTAAAAGCCCACCCACAAAGCAAGAAAAGCTCCAGTGAGAAGCACTCCATCCCCCCACTCTAGCCCCTACCCTCTATTGCCCTCGACCACTGGTTAGGCTCATATGTGTGCACATAAGTCCTTGGGTTGATCTCCCCCTTTTATCCCCACCCTCCCTCTGAGGTCCAACAGTCTGACCCATGGCTCCTTGTCTCTGGGTCTGTTCTTGTTCATCAGTCTATGTTGTTCACCATTTCCCCTAGATGAGTGAGATCATGTCCTACTGGAAATATAAGAATCAAAAATGAGGCAAGTAATAATCGTTATGTTGAAAGGCATATGAATTAGTCTGTAGAGCAGGGGTCTTCAAACTTCTCTCATTATGAGAATCACCTGGTGGAGGTGTTAAAACACAGATTCCTGATAGCACTTCTTATAGTTGGGATCCGGGAATCTGTGTTTTAACAACTCCACCAGGTGATTCTCATAATGAGAGAAGTTTGAAGACCCCTGCTGTAGAGTTTCTTTCTGGGAGAAGCACATTCTTTAAACCAAATACTCAACCAGACTCCTCTTCAGCCAGCAGCACACTTAACCTTCACAACCCTTTGAAATGCAGAAGTGGATTATAGACGTTCCTTCAGATGACAGGGAATGGAGATGCCACTTATCCTGGGGCGGTGTCCGCAGAAGGGAAGGTCTCCAGAACTTAGTGATCCCAGCCCACACCCTTTCCCTTTTGAAAATCATACACTGTAAGTGCATCATTAAGTAATATGTGACTAAATCTGTCTCATAAAATCATTGCAGATGAAGCTAACTTCCTCCGTGAGCCTCTCCCTCTGCAAATGCCTTATTTCTTCCAGGAGGGTTCACTGCTTTCAATGTGGTGAAGATTCTTCGATACCTTGCTCTATGCAGGCACACTCAGATCGGTACCCCGAGGAAACGTACAGTGTGGCTTTATGTATGTACAAGAGCAGTGATTCTCAGCCTTTCTAATGCCTCGACCCTCGATACTTTAATATATTGATAGTTCCTCATGTTGTGATGACCCCCAACAATAAAATTATTTTCATTGCTACTTCATAACTTTACTTTTGCTACTGTTATGAATCGTAATGCAAATATCTGTGTTTTCCAATGGCTACCCACAGGTTGAAAACCGCTGCTGTAGAGCCTAAGACCATTGAAAAACACAGATATTTACATTATAATGCAATGCATCTGTGAGGTTTATTATTGCATACACACACACACACACACACACACACACACACACACACAGTGTGGCTTTATGTCTACACAAGCCAATAAATTGTTTGTGTGTGTATATATATATATATATATATATATACACACACAAAATTTATTGGCTTTAAGTGCTGCCAGGGCTTCAGATTGTGGATGTCCCCCAGTCTATCAGCCATCCACTTATTATTGGAGTCTTTTATTGTATCCATTGTTTTGCTAAAACAAAAATGGTTTAGTGCACATGCCATTCATGCCTTCTGAGCACACAGGTGTTTCCCTTAGGTAGATACTATAAAATGAAATTGCTGAGATGTGGAGTATGCACATTTTTATTTTTATCAATAATAGACATTAACTGAAGTAGATATATTGATTTAGACCAGTGGTGTACGAGAGGACATATCCCGTCATCTTGGCCAATGATGTTATATATTTCTTAAATACTGCCAATCTGCTGGCAGAAAAAAAAGCATCTTAATTCACTAAAATTTACATTTTCCTGATTTCTGGTCCAATGGAGCATTATTTCATGTTTCTTGGCCATTTGTTTCCTCTTTATCATTTACTGGCAATCTATGCTTCACCCATTTTACATCGTGTTGCCTGATACTGTTTAAAACTAAACTTTGGGAGTTCTATATACATCCCAAATCCTGATCTTCTGGTATTTATGCTGTAAATATTTCCTCCTGGGCTATTATTCGGCTTTTTAAAATTGTATAGGATATCCTTGTGTATTTTTTCAGTAAGAAGGTTTACATTTTGAGCTGGACATATTTATTGATCCTTTCTTTTATGAATTTTGTATGTTTATGTCCTGTTTATGAATGCGTACCCCCAGGTTATAAATATGTTTTTGTATATTTTCTCCTGTGATGAAGCTTGTGTGTTTTTCTGGTTCAGGGCACTGACTGAGTCTATGTGCTCTCCATTAGGCATCAGTTCAGAGTGTGAACAAGGGATGGCTGGAGTGTACAGGCTGAGAGTAAAGCTGACGTCAGATCCTGAGGGGGTACAAGCTCTGCTGGAGACTTGATTCAGGTCAAGGGGACGTAATTCAGTTTCAGGCTCAATCCTGTGCTGGAGGCAACCAGGAGAAGTTGTTTCTCTCTCCCCTCTCCCTTCCCAATCTCTCTAAAAATAATGGGGAGAGCCGAAACTGGTTTGGCTCAGTGGATAGAGCATTGACCTGCGGACTTAAAGGTCCCAGGTTCGATTCTGGTCAAGGGCATGTACCTTGGTTGCAGGCACATCCCCAGTAGGGGGTGTGCAAGAGGAAGCTGATCAATGATTCTCTCTCATCGATGTTTCTAACTCTCTATTCCCTCTCTCTTCCTCTCTGTAAAAAATCAATAAAATATACTTAAAAATAAATAAATAAAATAAAAATAATGGGGATATATCCTCGGGTGAGGATTTTTTTTTAAGTAAAAAATATAGCACATACAATGATGTGAAGTACATAATACTTGATAATGATAATAAACAACTGTGTGGCAGGTTTACATATTTACCATGCTATTCTCTTAATCATTACTTTGTAGTTTACTCATTCTGCTTTAAAAAGTCTTCTGTAAAACAGTTTGCCAAGTTACACTTATAGCAGCATCATACACTGCATGTTTACCAAGTCTCTTGATTATATCATTTTCTCTTATGCTTGATGTACTCTCATGTTGTTTTATAAATTTAATGTAGCATAAGTGTACAGAGTTTCTAAAATCTACAGTAGTGTACAGTGTTGACGTTGAGAAGGAACATGACTGCCAAGAAGGACTCCGAGTGGTTAATTGGGCTGAAATTCAGAATCAGAGTCCAGCAGCCATTGCTGACCAGGGCCTCCGACTCATGCTTCATTTCAGAGGAAAGCTGCAGACTGACCTGCAGGTCTTCTGCATTGTGTTCTTGTCCTGCAAGCTAACCCTTATAAAGGTATTCCTGGAATCATCTTTCAACCAATGGGCTAAGACCTGCCCTGTCCAATCAGAACTACACAGCTATAGCCTCATTTGCATCTTCACTGACCAATCAGAGCAACTCCACAATGACCAATCAGAACAGGTGTTTCTGACCAATCAGGGCAGTGCTAATTGGACCAGTCAAACTAAGCAAATTTGGATTACTCATTTGCATAAAAATGGACCAATCAGGAGCCAGGTCGGGCACTTTCTCTATATAAATGGGCCTTCCTAGTTGTTTTGGGGAGAGCATTTTCAGTTTCCCTCGGAGGATACGTCTACCAGTTTGCCAACGGTTCGCCTGACGACACTATGTTCTAGGCTTTCATATTTACTCACCTTTCACTGACCCACCCAGAGCAACTTAGTCCTGCATACTCCTCTCACGGTAAGTGCCCTATACAGGTGTATCACTTAAAAAATGCCTTTTATACCTTATTTTTTACTGTACCTTTCTATGTTTAGATACACAAACACCACTGTTACAATTACCTACAGACATTTAGTACAGTAACAAGCTGTACAAGTTGGTAGCCTAGGAGCAATAGGCCACACAGCCTAGGTGTGTAGAAAGTTATGCAATCTAGGATGGTATAAGTGTACTCTGTGACGTTCCTACAACCACGAAATTGCCCAATGAGGCATTTCTCAGACCATTTCCCTGTCCTTCCCGTAAATTACACTGTCCATCTTGTTCTCTTTAAATAAGTAAGTACTTAAGGCAGCATTTTGAGTTCTCGGCTTGAAGTCAGCCAGTGTAGTTACAGAGTCTCTGCTAGAGACACTGACTGCCTTGGTTTCCCTGTCTGAGATGGCGCTGCCACGAGGGGCCAGAAACCGGGTCTGGGAGAGTGGGCGAGTCATGTCAACATTTGTCAGGCTAGCGAGCCTTAGACCCTAGGAGAGGAGCGGGCAGGCCATGGGAAGACACAAAGCTGATCCCGCCTGGGCACGGGCTCCAGGCTCTGCAGCGCAGGGGACCCCCTCTCGAGCCCACGCGCAGATGAGGGGCGTATTTGCAGAGGGGGGATCAAACCACCTAACTCCAACCGCACAGCGCGCCTTAGAGGGGCGGGTCTGGGCGCTGCGCCTCCCGGGATCGCGGCTCTCTTGGGCATTGAGGGCGGGAGGGGGAGGAGCCATACGGGGAGGAGCAAAACCTGGAGGGAGGCCCCAGCAACCCCGGGCAGAGCCAGAGCGGTGGGATCCCGGGCGGGCGCACTGCCCCGGGAGCACGCGCCGTCCGGCCGGCCGCTCCCAGCTGCAGCCTCTCCAGCCCACGCCCCGGTGCACAGCTGAGAAGGGTCCGTGCTGACGGGGGCGAGGGTCCCGGGCTCCTGTCCTATCCCAGAGCTGCCGGGCTGTCCGCTCCCCTGCGTCCAGAGTGTGTGCCATGGACCCTGCGGAGAAGAAGATCTCGGTGTGGATCTGCCAGGAGGAGAAGTTGGTGTCCGGGCTCTCCCGTCGCACCACTTGCTCGGACGTGGTGCGAGTGCTGCTGGAGGACGGCTGGCGGCGGCGGCGGAAGCAGAGGCGGGGGAAGCGGCGGGGGGCGGCCAGGGACCCGCCAGGCCCCGGGGAGCAGCCGCCGGAGCCCCCGGAGGAGGAGGACGATGATGAGGACATGCTGCCGCCGGGCTTGCTGTGCGGTCCCCCGCAGTGCTACTGCATCGTGGAGAAATGGCGCGGCTTTGAGCGCATCCTGCCCAACAAGACGCGCATCCTGCGCCTCTGGGCCGCCTGGGGCGACGAGCAGGAGAACGTGCGCTTCGTCCTGGTGCGCAGCGAGGCGTCGCTGCCCAACGCGGGCCCGCGCAGCGCCGAGGCGCGCGTGGTGCTCAGCCGCGAGCGGCCCTGCGCGGCCCGGGGCGCCCCGGCGGCGCGGCCCGGCCCGGCGCTGACCCAGGAGAGGCAGCGGCGAGTGGTGCGCAAGGCTTTCCGCAAGCTGGCCAAGCTCAACCGCCGCCGCCAGCAGCAGCCGCCGCCGGCGTCGCCCTGCTCGTCCACCTCCTCGTCCACCGCCTCGTCCTGCTGCTCGTCGTCGTCGTCGCCGCGGGCCGCCGACAGCGTGTCGGTGGAGCGGATGGAGACGCTGGTGCACCTGGTGCTGTCCCAGGACCACACCATCCGCCAGCAGGTGCAGCGGCTGCGGGAGTTGGACCGCGAGATCGACCGCTACGAGGCCAAGGTGCACCTGGACCGAATGCGGCGGCACGGGGTCAACTACGTGCAGGACACGTACCTGCTGGACGCGGGCATCGAGCTCGATGGGCCCGGCGGCCCGAGAGAGGAGGAGCCCGAGCCCGAGGCGGTGGTGGCGGCGGCGGCGCCCCCCCTGGACGGCCCGGGGCAGGCAGGGGCGCTGGAGGAGCTGGCCCAGCGCTGCGAGGACCTCTGGAAGCTGCAGGAGCAGCGGGCGCAGCAGGAGGAGTTGCTGGAGCGCATCTCGGCAGAGATTCAGGAGGAGCTGAACCAGAGGTGGATGCGCCGGCGCCAGGAGGAGCTCGCGGAGCGGGGGGAGGAGTGCCCGGAGCCGCCCGATGGCAGCAGCCCGGACAGCGAGCTGCTGCTGGAGCAGGAGCGAGTCCGGACGCAGCTCAGCACCAGCCTCTACATCGGGCTCCGGCTCAACACGGACCTGGAGGCCCTCAAGTCGGACTTGGATTACAGCCAGCAGCAGTGGGACAGCAAGGAGCGCGAGCTGCAGGGCCTCCTGCAGACTTTGCACACGTTGGAGCTGACGATAGCGCCTGATGGGACCACGGGCCCTGGCGGACCCTCGCGGGAATCCCGGCCTCCGCCCGGCGCTGAGGTGTGGGTGGACCAGGCCCGCGGACTGGCCAAAAGCTGCCCTGGCAACGACGAGGACTCGGACACGGGGCTGAGCTCCATGCACAGCCAGGACTCAGACTCGGTGCCTGTGTGCGAATCCCTTGTATAGGAAGAGCAGGGTCAGGAGGGACATGTATGCTTTCCCCTTTCCTGTAGCAAGCCCTGGTCTGGCCAGCCCAGGAGGTGAAACCAGGCTGGGGGTGGACCCCCGAGCTCCTGGGGGGCAGCAGGCCTCCTATTGGGCCGGGAAGGGCTCCTGAGGCTGGGGGTGAGTGTGGAGGAGGGGGCAGGACCAGTGTCTCCAGTCCAAGCTCTTTCAGGGGAAGGAGGGAGGGAGGGAGGGAAGGAGGGAGGGAGGAGGTGAGAACCCCTCCTGCTGGAAAACACGCCAGGGAAACTGACGTGGTCCTAGCCCATTTGCAGAAACAGAAAAAGGGGTGTTGTGGACATTTCCCCACTCTTCTGTATGGGAAGGACTGATGGCAGCTAGAGTTTTAGGTTGTAGCATAAAGTGCTTTTAAAAGAAACACTTGGATGAAAAGGAAATTCCTTGAATGTTAATTGTGACTGTGAACGTGTTAAAACTAGCCAAAGAGGACACACTGGTGTTGGTCTCAGCAACATCTTTTATAAAACCCATAGGCACTAAAATCCTGGCTGTTTACATTTCTGCAGATCTGGGAATTATCCATCTGCTAAGCTGTTTGCCTGTTATTTTCTTTCAAAGACTAAATTGTACCGATGTCTAACCCCATATTTCCTCCTAGCAAATACAGTATTTGTTAAAATGGGATCCCTTTTCCAAAATAACTTTTTATTATTACAAAAACCAAACCTCTCTCTTCTGAGATACAGATTCCTGGCAGGCATAATTTTTGGTTAAAATTTAATCTGGGTCTTTGGGATTTGATCCTGCAAAGATTTGTGTGTTTTCCTTTCCTTCATATTGCCATTTCATTAACTTAATCACTGTCATTTCAGAAAAAAAATAAAAGGGAAGTTCCAGAATTCAAGTTAAGGACATAGACTAAACTTGCTGTTAAATGAGCATTCCCACTGAAACTAAGACTTGAAAGCAAAGCTCTTTGTCAGTGCTCAGCTTTTGAACTGAGCTCTGTGATCAAAACTAACCTTGACCTTAAAAGATTTCACCCAAACCCAAGTCTGACTTCAGTATTTTTGTTAAGGGAACAGTTACTTTTCCAAACTGATTTTGAGATCGTGTGAATGCCAGGATTTACTAGATCAGGCCTGAGAAAGATAAAATACAATCAAGCTAATAGTACATCTTGGGTGAACACAAACGCATATAAAAGTAAGCTAACGACTTGAATTACTCTTGTCTGGCTCACGCCTTTGCACGCGCCAGGAGATGCAAGTGCAACATCTCTCTGGCTCGCTCCCTCGCTCCATAGCTGGAGACAGCCCTGGTGGGACCTGGTGTAACTGTTCCAGTTATTTCAATGAAAACTTATCAGTGGCAGCTAGCTGCTGCCCTGTGGAAGGAGCCTGCTGGCAGTGTTCCCTCTGGGGTGCAGTGCTTCTGAGGAATGTGGGATCTAATCTGTCCCGAGGAGGTGCTAACAATGGGGTGTGTGTGGTGCCAGCCTGGTGCAGAAGCCTGGTATCAACCTAGCCCAGGAGCGGCTGGCTCCAGTTTCAACACTACACACGAAGATAAGTTAAGAGGTCTTGCTTTATAGAGAAGTTTCCTCCTTGGAGAGATTCTCTGTCTGCTTGTTGCCAAAAGGGGCCTGCTCACCTGACCTGAGGCCATTGGGGTGTCACTTTTTGAGAGGCCGCATCCCCCTACCTCCCAGTGCTATGACAGCATGCGTGGATATTTTCACATTTTTAAGTAAAAGGCCGGTTTCTTAATTGATGTTTTCAAAAGACATTAGCTGGCATAATTATGGTTTTTTCGTTTTCTCTGATGCAGAAGACATCTATGTGTTTGGCTTTGAGCATGATTAAAATGAGGAAAGGGACCAAAAGAAACCCACTGTCCCTAGACAATCATTTGGTCCCATAAACACAAGGCCTAATGATAGCTTTTCTTTGGAGGCAAAGGTAAAATCCTCATTCGAGTGTGACAAACGCTACTTGTCTGAATGGTTTGTGCCTGCAATGGGCTGACCTAGTGGTTTTAAAATTATTATGCTTTTTTTCCCCCCCTCAGGGTGGTAGGGGAGTTGGACATTTATTAACTCAAAAGAGAGCACAGAAGTTGGCAGAACAGGACTGCCTGGCAGAAAAGGAGCTGTTTTCCTTTTCACTATTATTTTAAACTTTGATGGGCTGCTGACGTCAGCAAATATGCCTGAAGCTTGTAAAGCAAATAAAGCCACATCACAGGGAGAAAGGCCTGTGGGATTTTCTCGTGCCCTCTTTCCAGAACCTTCTGTCCTGGCCACCTGAAGATTTTTGCCTCTCCAGTCAACTCTTCAGGCACCAAGCAGGCTTTGTTTCATAACAAAATGAAGCTCAGTCTGCCCTTCCATCCCCCTCCCCCACCCCCCATTCCAAATCAATTATATCCGCAAAAGGCACTCCTCTGAATGGGCAGGAGAAAGGACAACAGGTGAGGGAAAAGGAAGGAAACAATAGTTCCTTTTACCAAGAGCTTTTGCAAGCCTGAGAAAGGTGAAATATAGATAGAAAAGGCAAATCGGAGCCTCTGCCTAGAAAGTGGCTAATGGATGCTAAACATTTTAAAAAGTTCATTTTTTTTTTCCTTTAAACAATCATGATGGCATTAAGAATGGAATTGAAGGCTTTGAATGCATTGGCACCAGGATTTCAGTGCCCCTGGTAAAAGTAACCCTTTCTGCTCTTCAAGCCTTATAGAAGTCCTGGGGAGGAGCCTACGAAACAAGCTCCTCTCCAACCAGCCCCATCTTTTTTTTTGTAATTAATACAATTTATCGTGTTTTTTAGTCAATTCTTGGCCATCTGACCAAACCAAGAAGACTCTGCTTACTTCCTTATGAAATGAAATAAAGATTAGGAGGAGGATTTGCTAATTAGAAAAGTTAAATCTGTGGTCCTCATGATGGACCCGAGAGTAACAAGTAAAAAGAAAGGAAAAGCATTCAGGATCTTGCCACCAAAAGCTTATCACTGCTGAAATTTGAGATACTTCCTTCCAGATCTTTTGAATTGTGAATATTTCATATTTTGCTTATTTTATAAAAGTATTCAGTTTTAATGAGATTGTTTATATGCCTTTACGATCAGGTTTTGACAGACTGGTAAGTGGCTCCATCTATCTGTTGGATGTATCATGGTGCATATTACTGTTCCATTATGAGGTCATTCCCGGTGTTTTTCATTATTATAAAGACATTATGATAAGCTTCTTTGTGCACATATCTGTTTCTCTAATTGGACCCTCTTTCAATGAGATAGCTTCCCAGAAAGAGAAGTCCCAAAGAGTACAAATATTTAAAAACTTGTCAAATTGGTTTTCAAAAGATTTGTTCTAATTACAATCCTTTGTGCATGGCAATGCCTACTTCACCACTCCTTAGCTTTCATTAGTTATTATATTCTGGTAAGAAAATATATTGACCAAAATGAATGAATGAATTCTTTGTGGCCCCAGGAAGCCAGGGCTGGCAACCAGAGCCTTAAAATACCTTTACAACAGAAGGGGCAACTCATCCTACCAGAAATGTTAAGATGATATGGTACCTTCTTTCTTTCCTGTTTCCTTGCCCTCCCTGAGCACTGCTTGGTGATAGCAATCCTGGCTCATATCAGAGCTGGCCATCCTTCTCTTGGAGCAGGAGGGTCCAAAACACCACACCAGCAAGATTAAGGGGATTAACAAATAAAAGAATCAGATTTATAAAAAGAAAATATTCATTATCTTTTTGCATCTTGAGTCTATCAGAAAAGGTTATGCTTAGAAGGTGATATCATACAATATATTTGATTTTGTGCTTCTCCCTTCCCACCCATATAAAATTGAAGCCAAAATAAAATCAATACACACAATAAATAGCTATGATACTGAGCTCATTCTTAAATTCTTGAAAAAGGAAAATTTGATCATGATAATTTGTGAAATGATAATTTTTGTTCTGAAAATGTTTGTGAAACGTGTCTTTGCAAACGGAAAGGAAAGAGGATAGGGAGGAACTCTCTATTGTTGAGTGCTTTCCAAATGCTAAATCCTGGTGCTTTCTCCTGTGCATTGTCTCGCATTCATCTCAGGAGATAGGACTTTTGATCGCTAATTTTACTGATAAACCCAGGCCACTCCATTGGTAAGTAGCAGATCCAGGATTCTGACCCAAGTCTGACTCCAAAACCTGTGCCCATTTTGCTGTATCACACCAAGCGCATTAGACCCACAAAGAGTTTGTCACACTCGGAAAAAAAGATTTCATAGGCCGCAGAGAGTTGGCATTGGAATGGACTCAGACGTCATCAAATCTTGTCTAAGTATTTCTACTAGTGCAGTGGACTGATTTTTTTTTGAATCGTAGAGGCATTCTCTTCCAGGTGAGGATTAGGGAAAAAAGGAGAAATTCTTACATAAATACCTGGGCATCTGTCTGAGAGATGCAGTCTTTGCCAATGAAAAATATTTCTCACAAAAATTAATATCCTGTGCATCAACATGAAACTTTTAACTGCAGGCCTCCAGGGCTCAGGTACAGTCACAGCTGGAAGGTGGTATCAACAACCACAGCTGAGCTGGATCGTCCCCAGCGCTTCTAACCAAGCCTCTTTTCTAGTTGAGCCTCTGGGAACATGAGGGTCATGGAAGGGTCAGGGGATGGAGGGAGTGCTGGGCCTTGTGTGGACTCCCATGTCCGCAGAGTTAGGCACGCACACCTGACTGAGGGTGTCTTTGGCCACGCTGACTCCCCTGCACATGTGGAGGCCAAGCCCGGATTACTTGAAGGACGCTGTCGCAGCCGCTACCTCTCTCATCCATTCCCACGAAAATTTTCCCTGTTTCAAACACCTCCAGGATTCCCCACAGCTTTCAGGATAAAATGTACATTTTTTAGCAGGATTTATTAAGTTATCCAGCTCAAGGCCCCTCTCCCAAGTCCACTCTTCTCCCAACCTTAAGAACATCGAAGTGAGTGGATTCTATTTCTTCATTCACATGGCACTGCCTTCCTCCATTCATGGAAGGCTCTTTTCTATTATCTTATTTTACTTCATGTTACCCTTCCTCTTCCATTCCCACTCCTAGTTTCCTCCTTACTCCCGCCTTAGGCACCTATCCCATGTGTTTAATCCATGAGCTTCCAAGCCATCTTATATAGTCAGGGCTGCCATGCTGCCCACTCCAGGGGGCACTATTCGTGTTGTATTCTGGAAACTTTGAATGGGAATGGACTCCTGAAGTTGAGCAGTGTGCTGGCATAATCCATCTGCTCAGGTATTATAATCATCCTTGAAAAGTAGAATAAAACTATGTGCATTTCTTAATATACATGACTTTCACTGGACTATAAAGCCCATTGTATTTCTTTTTTTTCACATGACAGTATATTGTGTGAACACTCTACATTGCAATATGTAAATCTAGTTATATTCTTATCATCATGGTATTCTACCACTTTTTTTTTTTTTTTTTAATATATTCCTTAGTTGGAACACCTATGGTGTTAGCAATTTCTTACTCTCTCAAATAATGGGTGTTGGAGGGAACACCTGGGCTTTGAGCTTCTCAAGGTGGAGAAAATCCATGATGTGTTTCTGGGAGTGGGTGGCTAAAGAGAATGGGGGAAGATCAAGGCCATCAAAGCTGGAAGGCCAACGATGTTAGGAGACACATGTACACAGATGTTGAAGCCTCCCTTGATGATTTCAGGAATTGGTATGGAGAAAGGAAAAAGTGTGGGAGTGAAGGGACAGAGAAGTTAATCAATAGAAGCAATATTGTGATAACAAGCGAGGCTTGCATTGGAGAAATGACTGGGAAGAGAGGTGAATGATCATGTTCCTCCCAGCTCAGCATACACCAGAAGTTCCCATTTCCTCTGGAGAAAGTCCAAACATCTTAGCACATCCTGCACAATAGCCTCACCTCCCATCTCCACCCTCTCTAGCATCATTGAACCACTTGAGTTTTCCTGTTGGCACCTCTCTCTCTTTGCATATATCGTCCTTGTCATCTTGAAGGATGTTTGTCCCTTCTTTATGGCTTAGTTCAAATGTCATACTTCTATAAACTCTTTCTCAAATTCCCATGCCATTCATTCAGGGAGCTGGTATTTATTGAGCATCTAACATGTGCCAGCCTCTGAGTCGGGCACTAATTCATTTGGTCCTTCCTCTGTACAATCCATCGAAGCTTTCCAGGTCTGTTAGCAGAGAGGAGACTGGCTCAGCAACAGAGCTCCCAGACTTGACTCAATAATCACCAAACCTGAGAACCAGGCTCCATTGGAATTTCATCAACAGGAAGGGCTGGGCAGGTTTCTTCTCATTTCCTTGTCTTAATTCCGACCTCAAGAGCTTCTACAGCTATAAACAACAAAGTATATTTAATAAGTGAGATGCATTGGCCTGTGAAACAGTGTTCCTGATTCATTAGGAAGTTGTGGTCAGGTTTTATTGCAGTACGTGCTTCGTATCTTGATTTCTGGGTACCTGTGTGCACAACTCTGTCTCTATCTGGGCACCAGGTGATTTTCACTAAGATTCATTTACTTTGCCGGAAGCAGAATGGAAATAACAGAGAATCTCTTGAGGGTGGGGTGGGGGGCCATTTGTTTGGTGTAGAGATTACACATTGGATGGCATACGCACCCACTTAGAGGCCAACATTTAGTCAACAAATGTTTAAGATGAGCAGTGCGTAGGTTCTGAACCCGGCACTGCAGAACACAGGTAAGCCCGCTCCCAGCCCCCTGGGGGCATCAGAGCTGCTGCTGCCCTCCCTGCAGCTGTGCCCTCTTGGTCTGGCCACTACATCATGTCTCCATTGTTAGCATAAGCCTTCCCTTTTCTGGAAAGCCTTCTATGGGCCCTGGTAGAGATGGTGAGGTGTCTATCCAATACCAATTTTTTTCTTCATCCTATGAATAAATTCTGGTTATAGTCTGGGTAGCACTGTACACAGCTGGTAAATTGTATTTCCCAGTCTCTCTTACATTTAGGAGTGGCTATTAAGATGTAAGAGGAAGTAGTTTTGTGAAAATTCTAGCCGACTTAGTTAAAAGGTGCCCCCATTTGCTCTCACTTCCCTTTTCCCCCTTTATTTTCGGATCTCAGATGTGATGGCTGGTGCTCTTGCAGCCATTTTGAACAATCTTGAAAATGTAAGACATTAAGAATGGTAGAGAGAAAAAGATGGAAGCTGGAAACTACTTTAAAAGCCTTGGACTGCCTATCTCTGGATTTCTTCATTTTTAGATAAACAAATGAACCTTATATTAAGTCTGTTTTTACAATTGAAACTAATCCTTACCAATACAACCCCCAGACTCTTTCATGATTGACTTTTCTTTATAACACTACTTCCAGGCATTTTTATTGGTATGTGTCTCCCATTATAACATAAGCTCTATGAGAATAGTGATTTCTCGTGGTATAGACCAGAGCCTGACATACAGTATATCCTCATTATAAAGTTGTATTATTGTCATTATTGTTATATATGCCCTCTGTCATAACAGCCTTCATACTTGCCACCACACACTTAATGGCTATCTTCCCCACCACTCCCATATACAGGGGTCACATCTGCCTTGCTCTTTGTGTAACATTGGCATCTAGCCTAATGCTAGGACATAATCAATATGATAAAAGCCTAAGTGACTATTACCGTGGAAAGGCCAGAATGACTGGTCACTATGATAGGCACTGACCACCAGGGGGAAGATGCTCAATGCAGGAGCTGTCCCCTGATGGTTAATGTGCTCCCACAGGGGGAGTGCTCCTCAGCCAGAAGCCAGGCTCATGGCTGGCGAGTGCAGCATGGTGATGGGAGCCTCTCACTGGCCAGGCCTAGGGACCCTACCTGTGCATGAATTTTGTGCACTGGGCCTCTAGGATATATATCCTACTGTTTCTGTTTATCTGGAGAACCCTGACCAATATAAGAGGGCATTTACAAAGGGCTCCAGATTTATAGAGAAGGATGTTACTCCACCTGGAGGGATTTGGGAAAGCAGAGGAGATGGAACCTAATAGATGTATGTGAATGTGATGGGTGGCAAAGGCATTCTAAATAAAGGGGAACAGAACATGCAAAGACATGATGAGGACCATTGCATGTTAGGGGAATGTGAAGAATGTGAAGCACAGAGTATGCATGGAAGAGGGTGGTGAGAATGTAATGTTAGTACATGATGTTAGCATGATAGTCTGGGACTAGTTCTGAAGATCTTAGAGTTGTAGTGTGTAACATCATCAGATATGTCATGTCAAAAGACAGCTGTGGTGACCATGTATGGAGGAGAGAAAAACCAGGGAGAAGGTAAGCAATGACTTAGGGCCAGAAAAAGGGCAGTGTTTATAGACATAGAAGGGAAGAAACAGATGTGAGACATTTATGATTTGGAACAGATAGAACTAGATGCCTAAATGTGGTGGTGAGGAAATTAGAACTGAGAAGTAAAAGATGATAGATACCGGTTATCTGGACAAAAAAAAAATTGAGAGAGGTGTTCAGACCTGGGAGTAAGACGAGTTGAGCTTTGAACATGCTGGCTGTGAGATGCTGTTCAGACATCCAGGTGGAGGTGTGCAGAAGGCAGTTGCGTAATGCTTTTGGAGTTTGGAAAACAAAGTGAAAGGGTGCTACTGATTGGGGAGCTGTGACCACGGAAACAGCAACTGAAACGATTGAATTGGGAGGTCTTTCCCAGGCAGTATGTACACTGAGAAGGGGAGAAGGTACCAAATCTCACACAATAGGTCATGGCTTCTTAATTTGGCTCATTCACTAAAATCCACATCCGGAATGGGAATATGGAACTTAGCCAATATTTTCTTAACTTTCAATACGTAAGGGAAAAGAGCTGGGGATAAAATAGGTTTGGTTTTTTACTAGAGAGGTCCAGAAACCAAGGTGCTAGTACTGCAAATGTCAAAGGGAATGAGGAGCAGTAAGGAACCATTGTAACATTTAGTAACACCTGGCATCAAGAGAAAACCTTTCTCCCAAGAACTGGAACCTTTGCCAAGACTCCATGAATCTTCACAGAGAGTTCAGGAAGTCTGTACAAGCCAAGGAAGACTATATTAACTTCTGATGCACACAAAAGAAATGGTTCTGAGAACACCAGACCGTTCTTAAAGCTCAATGCCAGGGAGTGTTACAGTCAAACCACCTGACTCCGAGCCCATCCTTGTGACCATAGGTCTGACCTATCTCCTGTCTGGATCTAGCAACACAATCA